TAGACTATAGAAGGCAAAGCCATAGGTTCACAAGGTCTTATGAGCATCGCTAGCAAGGAAGTGCGAGCTTATGGCAGCTCTGTCATGAGCCATGATTCACCTGAGGGTCTCTCGCTATTTGATGTTAACCATAAGAAATTCAAGAACCACGTGGAATAAGCCGGAACTGCATCTAGCCGGCGCCCTGCCACATCCTGAAATGTGAAATACACGTGTAAGTCTTTTTGTGCAAGAAAACTATATAGAAAGCCCCATCCACTGAAACCACAAATCCCCTGTTGGCCGGGTTGCGCGTCGCTAGACCGCGACTGAGGAGCCCACTTAATCCGTCCTGCAGTCGCTGTAAGGGAACGCACAACAAGTCCTGAACGAAATTGGTCTATGATGGCTGCCAGCAGCGGACCCATCAGCATCTTGCTGGAAAGATCCTTCGTAATAAGAATAATGGTAGTGTCAACCCCTGTTTCCATTTCATTTTCCATCTTCTTTTCCATTCGGTTCTGCATTATTGGTCTTTGAGGTCTGTTTTTTAACGCTTTGTATTGCTGCCGCAGCCTTAAATTTGCTAGGCATTAACGCCCCCAATGACAAACCTAACAAACCGTAGAATCCAACACCGCAACCCAGAATGACACGCTCCAAGCCCCCACTCAGTGTGCGCCTGAAACTCACAACCATACACTCCAAACCCCCACTGATAAGGAACCTCAATCCTGTCAATACTATATGGTAGTTTCCCTAAATAGCGAAACCTCAAGATATAAATGCATATATATATATACAGTTATACAGCCCAAAATCTTATAATCCTTATTATGGGGACCTCCAAAATGGCACCCCCGACTTTCGGGAAAACCCCATATGCATATGTAGTAAATGCTATGGTTTCCCCAAAACTCTGACTTGCTTCAAGGCAAATTTCTGAACAGCAACCCTCTAATTATCATAATATGGATGTGACATGAACACTCGTATTTCCTCCTATAGATCACTTATTTTAACCTTCTGAACGGCAACCCAGGAACCCTAAACCCTAAACTCTAAACCCTTTTGAAGGAGGACTCTCCGACGTGCCTCCAGCCTGCAGCCTCCACAACTCCCTAAAACTTAAACCCTGAACGTTTAAGCTCCGCCCTGAACCTGTCCTTTCGGATGACGGACCTTTGGCTGTTCAGGAGGCAGGGGCTGCACACACCAGAACATATAGAGGTTTAATGGGGTTCTATAGGGGTCATATAGGGATATATTAGGGGACTATAGGGTTTCGGGATTAGGGCTTAGGGTTTCCCAAAGTTAGGGGTACTCTTGCTGAGGGTCCCTACAATAAGGATTAATATTGTGGGTCTACATTGGGGCCCCCGCTTATTATGGAAACTACCGTATTGCCAGTGTAAGTAGATGCCTAGATCTTGTATAGATAAGTATGTTAGATGTGGTTCCCGTCGAATCTCCTATATTAAAAGACCCCAAGCCCAAAGCCCAATGGCAATGTAGACTAGCGTGCTCAGTAGCTGCGGAAAGCGCCGCCTAGCTCATGCTACGGTGAACCAAAGCGGCACAACTATGGATATGATTTTGACACTAGTGTGCAGTAGGGGTTGTATAATAGTATAAGATTTAGGATGCAGGGGCCTAGGTGGAGGCCCTAAACCCTAAACCCTTTGCGCAAAAACCATCTGCAAGAGTCGAGACTGCGAGTCGATGCTACTTCAAACCACTCAGGCTCCTACACTTCGCTAATGCTGCAGGTAATTTGCCATAATATACCATAATATACCATAATATCTTTTATTTCTGTAGTATACTATAATGTACTATAAGATACTATAACATACCATAATATACCATAATATACTATAATATGGGGCACCACCCGAGCCGGGCAAGTTCAGGCTGGGGAGATGCGGGGCAAATACAAGTTGAGGCAGCAGCTGCTGTTTTCCCATGTCGTGAGCACCCGCGCAAAGTAAACGGAATCACAAAACAGGATGGATTCGCGTCCCAGAACCGTGAGATCCTTTCATTGGCTCTAAAAATACCCAAGCCATTTTTTCTAACGAGCCGCATGATTAGGAGGGGTTCAAAGTTGTCATGCAGAAAATCTGTGCATCAAAGCTGCTGTGCAAGCCCCAAGTAGCTGCCATGCTCACGAGTCTGTCGATGCGTCTTTAGAACCTGGGGTTTACTAGAGGGTCCAAGTACACAATAGTTAGGTACTTAGGATTTGGGTACTAGTCATTACAGTACAGGTTTTGTGTAAGCATATGATTATTAGGGGACCCTCAAGGTTTAGGATTTACAGACCTCAGTGTGCTTGGGATCTGGCATTCAGCTTCAGAGGCTTCAGGACTGCTTGAGTAGAAGACACCAAACAGCCAAGAACGGATACTGAAGTTTCCATTTTCTCGTCTGCGATTACACCTATATACTCCCCTATACAGTAGCTTCCATCATCATTTCCAGTATCCCTAATTATATAACACCTATACAAACCTTATTTATCCTTAGTTCTTACTTGGAAGGTCTCACTTGGAGCTATCTCCCCAGGTGTGGTCTGGCATCCCATCCGAGGGGCGGGCATTCGTTAAGATTCTGCGCAAGACCGCGCAATATGCAGATATAGTATACTGAAATAGGAAAACAATAGTATGATTAACAAAATAATGAAGCACTGGAGTGCTGTAGTCAGGCAGTAATATAATGCTCTAGGAAAAGGGCAATACGGTCATTTCGTATTGGCATCATGATAAAGCAGTAAAACACATGTTGCAATAGTGATATAGTGGCCTTTCGGAAAACTAGTTCTGTCGCTTTAGATGTATAACTTCGCTTGAAAGGCTGCATTATGCTGGAGCTAAGGTGCATAGCGCTTGGCTGACTTCACATTCTTAAAGGCGGACAGAAGGCAAGACGCTTTAGGGGTTGGGTACCCTGAAAGCATATTCTTTGAACCCACAAGAGTTGGCTCAAGAAGGGAACCCAACTTTGTAGAAATGGGAGCTTCCATAGTAGGGGTCTCCAGTGTAACGAGATTAATATGTTAATATCTTTGTTGTGGGGAACCCTTCTTGGGACCCCTAATCTTCTTGGTACCCAAAATAATGAGCCATGTAAAAATATACATATAATATCCATATTGTAGGGAGCCGTTCTTGGGACCCCTGATGTTTTGAGACCATGCGGCGCAGTCGCTCCGAAAGGACTCTGCGTTGGCGTCTTACAAGCTGAAACCCAGTACTCTATGACTTGATGTTGCTCTAGTTTTGGTGCTGCTGCATTCCCAGTACTACACAGTCACATAGTGATACTACACCTCAAATCCTGAAGGTTACGCCTTGGCTTGAACGTGCTGGCGTGCATTTCATACTCCTCATGGGGAAGCAAGCGGTCCGCTACACCCTTTCCAGTGCATGGAAGGCACCTTTTTTCAACACGTGACAGAAAGTCCCCAACAGGCAATGGATGCAACAACGACTCTGTTTGGCTGAGCTCACCACCTCCGTCTACGGCTAGGCCTGTTGTTCAAGTGCTGAAACAGGCTCCTCTGTCCACAGCAACGTTGAACAACACAAAACATGAATACATCAAAGTTCGATCAAATTCTACGATAGCCCACACGAGAAACATCCTTGAAAACTACCTACGACAAACTGAGACCATCACTATGCTCCTTTCTGCAACATAGCCCCTCTAGGACCCCCAAACGTAGCCGTGTTCAGAGAAAGCTCTTGTTTCCTGCCGAGGTGCGCGTAGCGAGTTCGAGACGGTATCGGAGCATACCTTTGCATGAACTCCTTCTAAGGTGGACTTGCACATCAAGGCTTAGGGTTCTAGATTTCGGCGCGCACTTTCACTTACGCGGGAATTCATGAATGGGGGATTACAAGTAATTAGAATTAAGCAGAGGCCTCAGATATGGATAAATCAGCTTTGAGGGGGTTTCCCAAAGTTAGGAGTACCATATTGGGAGGTCCCTATAATAAGGATTATGGTATTTTGGGTCTATATTGGGGTACCCCAATCTGGGGAAGCTACCATGACTGTGGTTCTCCTGATCCCACTGAGAGCCACCCTAAACCCTTGAACCCTTAACCCTAAACCTTTACCCCTAAACCTTTACCCCTTAAACCCTTAAACCCTGAATCCTTGAACCCTAACCCCTTACCCCTAAACCTTTTAACCCTTAAACCTTTATTCCTTAAACCCTAAACCCTTACCCCTAAACCTTTAACCCTTAAGTTAAGCCCTCAAACCCTTAAACCCTAAAACCAAAACCTATGAACCTGTTTATTGGGGGTTCCTACAATTGAAGATTGATATTGGGGGCCTCGACCACTGGGGCCACCAGATTTCAGAAAGTCCATCGATTGAGGTAGCCAACATGACACAGTGCCATCCTTCATGGAAACATCAGGCGGCAACCTTCACTGCCATACAGCTCAGCGAAGCAGCTTGACAAGAGACGCAGTTTGCTTGTTGATGGCTTCTTTAAATCAGAAGACGAGCATCTTGCTGGCACTGTGTCGGCTGCCGCGCCACGCAAGGATATTTCAAAAGCATTGCTCCCATTCCCTATAGCCCCAAGTACAGGGGGTTCGGTGTAACTCCTACATCAGTAAGCCATGAAGCTTCCGAGCGCATTCGGTCTCGCTTTCTGCTTGGGCACTTGGAGACTCAAACCAGCACAAGTACACCTAGCCTGGCAAATCAGCTGTCACAAATTTCGGAGCTTTGACACGACCTGGTCAATATGCGCAGGATTTTGGCTGATGCTTCTTGATTGTAGTCCTGAGAGGTTCTGCTCCAGAGTTACATCTTTTGTACCATGAGGATGTCAAGGACAGCGTGAGCGATGTTCTTCATCAAGTCCTGTCACTGGTTACTGCATGCCCCTTTTCTGCCAAGGGTTCTGGCTTGCTCACGCATTCCTGGCCTGCTCCCTCTACAAAAGCATAGACTTTTATCCGGGGACCTAGAGCCTAGAACCACCTGGGAAACAGTCATGTACCTGCTATCCCTGGTTTCTCAGACAAAGGAACCGATGCACAGAAGCCGATGCTCGCGTTGCGAAGCAGCTGCTGTGACCGTGAGTCATAGTGGGGGAGAAAGTCGTTGAGCTGGTTAAAGACCTCAAGCTGCAGTCAAGGCCAAGGTGAAGCACGTACCCGAACCAGTAGGGCGCAGTTGCCTGGTAAGCGCTAATCCTGTTTGTTGTGCTTGCGTTCGTCGGGCGTCCTTTTCCCGTGGTCGACTGTACGATGCTCCGTCATTCTTGAGAGACGTCTCTCCTTCGGATTGATGTCTGCCTACTGCCCCATAGGATACCCCAGGTCCATGACCTTCCCCAACAAGCATCGCTTGTCGGATCGTTCTTGTGTGTAATAACTGGTACGAACAGGCGCGGCCAGACGTCAACTTCCCGTGCATATATGAGCCATAGTCTGAACTCCTAGCATCCCCTAATAGCCGCTGTAGTAGTCCCCCTATATATAATCCCCTATATAACCCCCCTTTAAGGAGTTTAGATTATAGCTCATATAACGCCGCCACGAGGAATCCCAGGGTCCCAGACCTCGCCCCAAAATGGAAAGCACCCTCTGACACGCTTTGCTTAAGGATTCCATGCAAACCCCCAGGCTCAACCGCCCAGACTCTAAACCCTAAACTCTAGACCCAATATCTTGGGTCAATCCCCCTCCCAGTAACGGGTACCACAAGAGACTGTGGTAGGTATATTAAGGCCCTATTAACTCCATATTAAGGAGCTATTACTATAGGGGGGACTGACCTAACCAATATCCTAGATAAAATGATCTAAATCCCCGCCAGGAATTCATTCCCTAAGCCATGGCCCCGACTGTGAACCAGGGGTAGTGGCTGACGAAGGTGGCAGCTGAGGAAGCCATGGCCCCTCTGAAGAGCACGGCAGATCCCCCTGACGCGCAAGGCATTGCATGGGTTTAGGGCTCAGGGATCCAAGCAGCCCAATGTAGGTCACATTTACAGAACCCTAAACCCTAAACCCTAAACAGACTTTAGGGCCCAATGTAGGTAGTGTTTGTATACTTGGATCCCTGGGTTTGGACGGGTTGAGGATTTACGGCTTTGAGGGGTTGTGGTTTAATCGTCGGCCTTGGGGCTTGCGGTTGAGGCTTAAGAATTGAAGGACTCAACGAAGTAGGGCTATATTACATGTCGTCAACTACCAGACTGACACCAATAATCTTGAGAAACTCCCGTATGGGGATCCAAGCTTTTGAGGCCTGGGGAAATACTACATGGGCCTAAATGATTACCTTGGCAATTTTGAAGTGTCATTGAGTTACCCCACATATTCCCTAACATTACTTTCATTGGAGACCCCCAACACCTAAACCAAATGGGAAAGACTCCCCTTAAGAGGTTAAGAATTCCTAAAAAAACTTGTTGCGGCAGCCTTGCTAGGGTCCACGCCGGGATGGGAGGCCCCAAGGCAAACCCTAAACCGTAAACCCCAAACTGGGTTGCTCTTAAGTTAAGTTACCATAATGGGAAGCTATAGTAATTAATAGGGTTTCGCCAATAGAGTAACTTAATCTAAGTTCCTTAACAGCAGCCCAGTAAACCCCTAAAAGGAACCCAGGGTTTCATAGCATTTCCTATCTGGTGGTTATCAGGTTTCACAGCTTGCCGCCTACCCCGGACCCTACTCCCAACAAGCAGTTCCTTCGGCTCCAAGCAGCCGAATGTAGGGGTCTAGGGTTTTTTGGGACCTCAGGGCCTAATGCAAATAATATTTATGGACTTAGAGCCTCAGGGTTTCGCCTCACAGCTTCACTGCAAACGAAAAACATCCCAAGTGTGTGACCTGAAGCTTGGCGGTCTTACTAACTCTCCCAGTCAGGGAGCCCTCACCGACCCTAGGAATGTGTAAGTAATAGCACAAAAAAACACTTACATGATTTTGAGGTCTCTTCGCGGTGTCCTATACCATACTTATACAGCAAATTCAGAACCATAACGTTGGTAATGATTCAAGAGCCTATGGTAGGAATCACGATTGGATTGCTCAGGCCTTCTCAACTGAACATTACTAATTACATTGACAGTATACTTCTTCGTAGGATCCGTCTATATTTAAAGTATAGCAAAAATAGGGTACATCAAGTAGAACTCAACATGATAATTGTAAATGTGTAAGCCCCTTTATTATGGGGGGTCTCTTCTAGGGGCTTGATGGTCACGGCCCAAGAGGGACCCTCCATGTATGGAGGCTTCCTTAGCGTGACCCGCTGCCATTGGCAGAAGTGTCGTCCCTCATGCATTTCACGGCATCGCTCGTAGCATACGCAGCGAGACAGCAAGTCATCAGTCAAGTTAAGCCACACCCAGAACTTTTATAAATACCAAATACAGGACTGCATACGACCTATCTGAGCCGAGTTCATGCACCTAACAAGGCCGAAACATCCAAACATCATCTGCTGATAGCCCTGAGCTCCTGCTTGGAAACGGCGAAGGAGAGACGCCAAACCCTGCTTGCCGTCCACCTTCCACACTGCAAGGCTTCATGTGGTGCAATGACAATTTGATAAGCCCCAGGGCTACATATGACGAGTAGTGAATGACCTCTGCAAATGCTACCACGCTACGTCTGCTTCGGGGCTGCTGCTGCTGCTGCTGCTGCTGCTGTCGCCTCTTCTCCTCCATGTTCCATCAAGCCTGCTAGTGCTTCTTTCGAGATGTGGTTCTCTCAGAGGCCCACTCCAAACGCAGACCCACCGACTTCACTCAAAATCGTAATGTAAACCCTACTCTCTCTGAGCCTGCAGAACGGTCTTCACAGCGTCCAAGGGCATCAAGGCAATCCGGATGCTAGCCGCCGACGCAGACGCAAAGATGGTTTGGAACCAGACCTGGGCGATGTGGCTGCTGACGTTTCTGGGTGGCCCCGGGGCCCTACGTAGAATTTCGGATATCTATGATTGTCTGGGCATGTTATTCGGTTTTTTCTGACGCGCCCCAAACGTGGCATGTATCTTATAGCAGTCCGGTTCTGACTGGCTTGTTTCAGGAAAGGAGTGCATCGTAATTAGGCAGAATGAACTTCAGGCTGCGGCATGCAAAAGGAGGGAATCACTAGGAATTGGGTCCTAGCCCCACCCATTACCAGTCTACTATCGGGGCCATAATCTTAAGGGCTCTATGTAATTACTCATATTGTAAATACTACCCAGCTGTCAAACAGTGGGGCAGTAGCCAAGGAATCACGTTCATTTACCATTTGCGTTCTCAAAAATGTGGAGGAATTACATGGAAGCATCCTGCAAAGCACATGTTGATCCCCTTCTTACACTTCCCAGGTCCGTTTTTGGGTAGGAGGTTCGCAAACTCGCAGATCGCGGGGCCCTTGGTGTATACCAGTTTGGTGACCCCGGAGACCCTTATCCGCCTTGAATCATGTAACCAGATGTTCTCAACATGGCGTACCAGTCTATCATTAAAAGAACTGCTTATACAGGAGCTCTGGTCACCGGAAGCCCGACGCTCCGAGCCTCAAACACGTAAAGCTGCCCAAGCTGCTGGCCAATCCTCGCGGTTTGTGGCCCCAAAGAAGGCGAGCACCCCAGCATTCGATGCGGAGTCGCCAAAGCGCATGAGAGGTCCCTGCGTGAAGGGAGTACGGAGGAGTTGCACGGGCTGGTTCTCCATCACCAAAAGACGACTGCACACAGAAGCATGCAAAGAACATGCCCATAAGCTTAGAATTTGGGGGACGTGTTTGATGGTCAGAGTCGGAGAGCCTCTCCTCACTCCGTGTCCCTTCACTGCAAATTGGACTCAGGCGATTGGGCTGAGCACCCTCAACCCCACCCTGGGCCCCCAAAGTGATTTCATGTTGGCTCACTTTTGAGCATTCGAGCCATTATCCTACCTACGTCTGGGGTCGAGGTAGGCCCTCGCGCGTTGCAGGGCCTGAACCAGCGCAGGACTGATGCCCTGGTAGAACCGGCGAATGCCGCCCTGAGCGTAGAGTGCCTGTGTGGCCTCGCTGCACTCGCTTGCAGTATGCCGGTTGAGGGTTTGGGGATTAGGGTTTAGGGTTTAGGGTGACATCAGGATTGCAGTATTGGGACCGAATCATGTTAGCATTCTGCGGTGATCATGTTGAGAAGCTCACATGGCCCTGGCAACGTGGATGCAAACTTTGGCTTGGCCACAACAGCGAGCACTTCTTCCTCATCCAACCCTCAACGTTCAGCAAATCTGACACAGGATCCTGTAGATTTAGGAAACATCTCGCACTTCAGGTCCGAAGTGAAGGAAAATGTCATGAGGACTGCTTGAAATCTTGATGTGCCTCTGCTTACAGTCACTCTCCAACCCCCACCGTGCTTTAGAGCTTGAAACATTCGACTGTGCCCTCCTTCTGGTCAGATGGGGACCGGGGTGATGGGGTTGCAGCGGGAGAATGAAAAGGTCCCAGTGGTCTTGGGGTAAGAGATGCAACTTTTTGGGTACACCCTCTTCTAGCTAGAAGCTCTAAAGAATCCCAAGTTAACATGTAGCAACAATGTAGCAGTGCAATAATTGACAAACAGAACTCGGGGTCGATGTTGAATGAACTTGAGCGCCTTTTAGGGTCTGGGACGACAACGTGAGAACAGGCATCGTCGATCAAATCTGGGATCACTCGCTGAATTCCGGTTGTTGAAGTATTCAGGGTTGGGGGTGTAGAGCTATGTTTTTGTGCTGCAAGACTTCATGCAAGAAGAAAACTAGGATGCTTTGTTAACGAGTTCAGCAACGCTTATGCAGCACTATCAAGACCATCAAAAATGACCAGTGCGCAGACTTCTCCAAACTCAGAACGCCAAGTCACTTCACGAATGCTGAGTCCATAACGGTACTGAAAGTTCCTGGGCTTCAAGTAATAGTAATAGTCATAGTAATAGTAATAATAATAGTAGTAATAATAATAGTAATAGCAATAGTAATACGAGAGCAATGCCGCGATTCCAGCAGAACACAGCCACTCGAATGCCAAAGCTTCAAGATTGTCTCCGTAGTTTCCTTAGATCTATAATAAAAACTAGTATTTTCGATATTTCCTTGCGGTTATACTATAATAAAGATATAACTCCTAAGGACTGTACAGGTCAACTGCTGGAGAAGAGCATGATTGTCCGCAGCCACATGAGGGAGGTGATCTGCAACGCCATTGCCTGAATAAATTTGGCGGTTCAGAATTGCCTATGTCTTTTACGAACATTCCCTTGTCGCCCTTAAGTAGCTATGATGTAGACACTGATTATGCAGCAGTATGCAGCAAACATTGTTGGCTCATCCGGTTCTGCGCTTGCTTGCGACCAAACCCCACAATGCCTTCTGCCAGACTACGCTGTCAAGCCCTCCAGGCTTCTGAAAGCTCCGGAGCCCATCCTGCTAAGCAAAATTCCACGGCCTCAAAATTGTTCAGCACCCTCGCAGTTGCACTAAGCATGCCGGCAGACGGCCCTCAACACTGAGTTTGTCACGGCTACTTTTTCCTGCCTGCATGCGGTTTATCACCGTGAAAACTAGTTTCGGCGCAAGTTTGCTAAGGACAATACAAGCAACGGAAACGGAGATCTGAGGGCTCGGCACTTGCTCCGGCCACACCCCCGCAAAGCGCGTGGTTCGCGCTCACGCGGACCACTTGCCATACCTCTGAAGCCTCAGGCAAGAAAAATGCTGACTCTCACAATGCGAAGTCTTGCCTGGCTGTGTACCGACAACCCATATCTGATATCAGTTTCAGGCCCAGGCTCCGCCCCAGTGGGTTGGTTTCTTCTTACCCCTGAACTGCACCACAGAATCACACCAAACTTCAACAGCTCGTTAACGACTTCCCTCCCGGACAACGCTTCAGCTCTGGGCCGACAAGTCATGTGCCCACGTGTCAGATCTGAAGCCACAAACTCATAGGAGCTATAGTCTAAACTCCTTAAAGGGGGTTATATAGGGGATTATAGGGTTATGTAGGGATAATGGAAAAGAAAATGGAAACTACTATAAATCAGCTCGTCTACAAAGCGCCACGCCGTGTCTCGCCGACTGTCTGCAGTAGTCACATTCATCAACAAGGATCGTTGATTCTTGGATGCGCAATGTCTAAGGATGAGACTGCATACGTGGATGCCCAAGCTGTACCTGTAGTTCTGTATGGCCGGCGTTGCACATCTGATGTTGAGGCTACCTGCGCATAAAGATTGCCCTTCTGGGGTTTCACTTCTCTTCCTGACGATGATCACGGCAGCGGTGTTCTGATCTGGAAGGTTATGAGCCAACCAAATGCACTCGAGCTGATTGAAATCCGCCGCGCGGGATGAGCAAATCTGCTGTGCAAACAACCGCCGCAGGCAAATGTAGACTTACATAGGCTTGCACCAGAGTAGCGCGCGTGCATTCGAGTTCCACATGCCGCTTTTGGCAGAAGGGTGGCAGAACATATGCCCTCAACTGAAACATCCCAGATGCCATCACTGACATAGGCAACCTTGAAGTAGTTGGTGTTCGTATCCAATGCATATTTGCTCTAGGTAGCTGTAGAGCAGTTTCTCAAAGTAGGCCCTACATAATCTTTATTGGGACACGGGACCTGCACTATTCTCTTGATCCTCATGTATCCCCGGGGCCACCAATGTTGGACCCGCTTATGCTCGGGCACCCTCTTTAATTCGGGAGCTTATTCAGGATCTGGGACCTTCTTTAATGTCAAGTTTTGGGGGCAAAGCCAGTAATCTTAGGTTTGGAATTTGAAAAGATAAAATATTTAGTTTTCTCAGATAATACTAATACTAATACCATTAGGATTCAGCTGAGACCCCTCAAACAATCTCAATTCAGGGTACACACTAAAGCGGGTCCAACATTAAGGGCCACCCATTTCGAGAATCCCCCCTATGAGATATACTGGGACACGTCGGCGGCTCCTCTGCAACTACCCTTGAGCCTAAGTATATCTTGGGTACTGCCCCCACCCAGTAACAGTCTATATTAGGGGTCCTATTAAGGGCTATATATACCCATATTACATGCATTATCCAACTGTTACTGAGGTGGGGCAGTACCCAAAGTATATCCCACATAGGGTTTAGGGTTTATAGGGCTTAGGGCCCCTTCTCAGGCAAGCAGCGAAAGGCGATGCAAGGGCTGTGTTCGGTGCGTCGCTCGCATCCTCGCCCATCATGTGAAGCTCTTGCTGAATCCCTTGGATGACCAGCATTTCATTTTCCATTTGATTCTCCAGTATTGGGTTAACATCCCTCAATGCTACATAATCCTGATGTAACACCTACTTAACCCTACATAATCCTTAGAGGCACTGGCTCTGTTTGTAAAACCCTCACGGCCATGCATGCTGAATAGAGATCTGAATGTTACAAGCGTGACCCCTGGTATTGAGCTTGTTTCCTGGACAGAAAATTGGCACAGACTGACGCAAAGATTATGGGCCTATGAATGCTTAGGGCCAAGTCTTGTGGCCTTGGATTGTTAGATCCCCCGTATGTTGTGTCAGCAAAGCTGCAGGTAAGGATTCTATCTCTGTTATGGTTATATGTCTCCTCCTTGACCTTAGGCAGAAGAAGACCTATGGAGTCTGGTATGTTTTCGACGTGTCAGCAATGTGGGTTGGTTCTATCAAAAAGAGAGAAAGACCTCGAAGCAATTCAGCATTTGCTCTTAGCTTTGCAACCGCAGTGTCTTCATGTTCTGGCCCTCGCACAAAGCACATGAAAGGTTTAGGGCCTGGAAGCGTGTTTGAAAAGTTGCACATGATGACTTGTTCCGCCCCGCGCAGTCTACCTACTGGGCAGTATAGCTCGAGGAAACTAGCTGGGTTCAAGATGTGGAGCTCTATGAAAACTGCGAAGGCTATGCAGTGTAGATGCCAGGCGAATAAGGCCACTTAGCACATACCTACTTGTGATGGGCTTCTAGTAGGGTACGGCCCCAGGAACCTCAGCAACCTATAATAATAGGAATAGCAATAGTAACAATAAGAAAAATGATAGCATTAGCAAGAATAGCAAATGGTTCCTCTAAGAAATGATTATTTTCCTACAGATGCTGATCCGACTCTTTACACCTCAGACTCTCTTGCCAGAGGTGCAGCATTGGCAACAAAGCATCTCTTAAGGACTCATCTAATAGCGGCTTCCTCAGACACACCGATTTCATGGGTTCCTAGGGCTCCGCTACGAGTACTCTTTGCTCCACCACCTTGCGATGCATTGCGGCCTCCGCCCCCTTGTTTCACGGCATGACTGCCGTATTCATCTGTATGCACAGACATGTACCCATCTTGTACCAAGGGCCCAAGCAGAATGTAAACCCTTGCAACTACAAGTGGTAGGTTTTTTTTCAGATCACATGCATCTCTCACGTCAGAAAGTTGTAATCCTAACCCATTTTTTAAGGCAAGCGAATGCCCCGCGAAACGCGCTAGTCCGTCCAACAAAACCGGGAAGCACTGCGTGCTGGCCTAAAGAACTGCTAGTATCATCTTCAAGGCTACTTGAAATACCTAGTACCATAACCACCATCGTGGTAACCATCTATGCCCCTACAGTAGATGTGTCCCTGGAACGTCTGAACCCAGCAAAGCTTGAACAAAGCTGTAAAAACATATCATTGGGCGAAAGTGAGACTCAACCTTTTTCAGGACTTTCTTGTCTGGGGCTTTGGTACTGGGGCACCCTTGCCGCAAGACCCCCTGACCACACACAATCGCAGTCCTAACCAGTCAAGCCGTAACTTCAGCTTGGCTTCAATGCGCCTTAAGATACTCAGCTTGTGACACCGCCTCCCGGGGCAACGCAAGAATAATGTCCGGACCCCACGGTGGTCACTGTCCACCTGAAACCCTCCTCAAGGACACTGAAGCGCTTGAATAGTTGCCAATATCGTTCTGAGATCTATCAGAGGTACCCTGTACCGTACTTGTGGTGCCTGGATAATAATGACCTTCACCCCCTGTAAGCAAGAGGATTTACAGACATGCCTGGACAAGCCTTTTTTGGTAACCCAACGATGCCCACTCGGTACTAAGCCTTTTGAATCCAACTTTGAAAGAATCTGGCGGGGGCCTATGTCCCTTGCACTTCTACAACCTCAAACCCCTAAACCCTAAACCCTAAACGCTAAACCCCTAAGCTACACCTGCGTCCAGGAGCTCCTAAACTGGCTAAAGCCCATCCGTGGAAACAGACCCGGGCCGCCCCAATGCCTGATTCCTACGGTGTTACTGTTCTGTTGAATGGGAAGGCCAAAGCCTTAACCCCTATATAGCCCCATTATAGGATATTGGGGCTATATAGGGGTTACATTGGGAAAATGGAAAATAACATGGAAGCTACTTTATGGCATCTAAACCTATATAACCCATTGTAGTAGTTTCCATTCCCTTTTCCATTATCCCAAAATCGAGAAGAAGGCAAACTCTCGCGAAGCAAGCCGCAGCAAGGCAAGAGCATTCCTACGCGAACAACGAAACCCTAGTTGAAATCCCTCGCGCTATTGGGAGGAGGTGGAGTTGAGTACAATATATATATATATAGGGATAACGGAAAAGAAAATGGAAACTACTACAATGGGTTGTATAGGTTTAGATGCCATATAGTAGCATCCATGTTGTTTTCCATTCTCCCGATATAGCCCCTACATAACCCCAATATACTATAGTAGCTTCGATTTTATTTTCCATTATCCCAATATAAGCCCTGTATAACCCCAATATACTGTAGTAGCTTCCATTTTAATTTCCATTATCCCAATATAATCCCTATATAACCCCAATATACTATAGTAGTTTCCATTCTAGTTTCCATTATGCCTATATATAACCCGGATCCTTGCCTCCTTCAAGGATGCCCGCAGCTGTTGGGCGCTTTCCTGGGTTGGTTCACTTTAGACTTCGCGGTTGGGCCGCAAGGTGTGCAGAGCTTCCCCAACAAATCTACGGATCCTACCTCTGATTGGGGTCAAAACGAATAACGAACATCGCTTCACAAGCTTGTGCTTGAGATTTTCTTGCGAACTGCCGGACTTGCAGCATAAAACCCTGCAGCCCAAAAACCTTGAGCACCCCCTGAATCGAAGCCATCAACTTCTGCGCCGCCGCTTCTCTGATTACAGGATTTGATCACCTCAGTTCCTAAAACAAGGACCCTGTAAGAGC